GTTGTTGCTATAAATGTGACTGAGTTTACTGCCCTCCAGAGTGCAATAACGTCATGGTAGCGTTGGTTCAGCTCTTGTGTGTGATAACTTTTACAATGAGGCCTTTTGATAACCATATAATCGCAAGTTATTAAGGCATTATGGTGCAGGAATTGCCGCTAAAGGAACTGTTATGAGAAAATGGTGACAGCCGAACCACACCCTATGCAGAATTAAGGATATTGTCATACAGAAATCCAATATATGACTAAAGATATCAGACAAGATTTAAAAGAGTATCAGATTTCCAATATGCAGTGAACACATCATGAGTATATGGCATACCATTATCCAGAATCAATGTTTCTTAAATCTACACTCAGATCGGAAGCTCTAAAACAACAAGCTGCATTGATCTTAGCTGATAAATCAAGATTTATTGAACTTGGTTGGCAAATATAAATAAAAGGAAAGGCTATGTGAATTTGCTTGACAACACTGGTTTTAATATAGTGGCATTGTTGTCTGAGAAGAATCTATTTCCCCAATAAGAAGAAATTGATTTTGGGCACCAGTTGAATGACCACACCTAATTGGATATGACAAGAGAGCATGATACAAATCAGTAGTGCTTAGAGGCCATAACGCACATGGAGTGATAATAGCATAGTGGTGAACCATTCATAAAACTGAAAATAAATGTGATATTAAAACATACAGGCTTTAATTCCGCCCTAAATAAATGTATGTTGTATGTTATAAGATCAAATTCTCATGGAGACTGAATGAACTCACTGACCCACAGTCTGAGCAGAGCGACTTGCTGCTCCTGGCCCATCCCATCTTGTCTGTCCACATCTCAAGTCATGAAGCAGGAGGAGTAGGTAAAAGGGGAATTAATGCCAGCTAGGTTTTAGCCGCTGCCCGTGTCCCTTATAGCACATACGCCAAGACCCCTAAAGCTGTCTGCCCCCCCCTTCATCCATCAAGTGCCCAGCGAGCCAGAAGACAAACCAGACTAGACAGGGTACACTCTTGCACTTTAATTAGCACCAAAAACCAAAACAAAGCCTTTGTAAAGTTATGCTTTTGGCAAGGCCCACAGCCTTTTAAACCTTTGAACGTAGTGCAATAAATTATACATAAAGCTTTGGCTCAGATGTGGCTGGCAAAATACAAGGCCCAACCCTGCTATAACCACCATTTTGTAATATATGCCCATTTTAGAGATTGGCACATTACAAATATTGATACGACCATTATATCATAATCAATAACCACTATACACCTATAAACTATGTCTTATGTGTTCATTCGCATCGGTCGTAAATTTTTCTCTCGACTGCAAAGCAATCCTCGACAAGTCCATCTTTCCCCTATTCATCGAGCAGCAAATTGCTTCAGTGCAGACCATAGCGTATGGCGTAGACTGACACCGTTTCTGTGAAAGTCTGACCCAGATTTGGTGAAGGGATTTGTCGCGGTGAGATGTTCCACACCCCGGAGAGAGAGTGGCTCGCTCTTTTTTTGAAGGGACCAGGGATGTTGGGTGGGGTCGCTGAAGCTGCATTATGCTGCACGACCGTGAGTCAGGCTGAGAGACCAGGTGATGCGTTCAGGGAGCAGACACAGAATTATTACTGATGATTAGTGAGCCTGACAAAATAAACTCAATTCAGGTTATTTGGAATTATTTGCAACGGAGGGGAATAGGTGCGCCACTATAACATAGGTGCGTAAAACGTGCGTAATTGTCCGAAAATAAGAAGCATGTGCCCTTGAAATAATCACTGCAAAGTAACATCAAATTTTAGATACTTAAGCAACTGCAGGAACCACTCCCTAGAATTAACCACCAACCATCTCTGTACCGCTTTGTGCAATGGATAACGCCTCACGTCTTCAACCCTGACATTCTTCACTTATACCAAAATAATAAAAGGCTATTTGTATAACTTACCAATCGCGGTTTTGGCCATTTTGTCTGGTATTGTAGGAGCTTGGCAGAGCAGGAGGAGCGTGTGGACGGAGGATGCTGTATCTCGGGGTGAAGGACTGCTTCTAAGGCACTGAGTCAGCAGAGACGGGGGCTACCGGTGCGCCTGGTGGTCTGTCAGGAGGCGCGTGAAGACCAGGGAAGATAACGGGAAGCGACAGGAAGTAGGCAACTCCTCTTCACATTAAAATTCACCTACTCATCATGACTCGAATCACTGCATAGCCTAAAGATCAGAGGGGATAAGCAGCAGCCTATTGAAACTAATGTAGCCTACTATAGGCATATTACGCATCGTTGATTTGGCCCTTTTCTGGTAAAATATTGCAGCTGAATTCTGATCAATCAATTCTATTTTCTGTTGTCAAGATCACAAGAATAACGTTCACCAAAGTGGTTTCACACACAAATATTAGCCAGATAAACAGTAAAAGGCATTCAACAGCTGCAGACCCACTAGTGCAGGACTAGCCTATTAACAATAGGCTATATTGTATACATTTTAGTTTGGTTTTAGATGTTACTTATTGCACACAAATTGCAGCTTACCCATCTTATTTTGAAAGTAACTAGCATTTGCCTGTTATTGTGGGTTGTATGCTAGCTGGCTTGACAACATGTGTGCCTTCTATGCTTCACCCCTACACGACTATGTTGGCTAAAGTGCAATGTCTCAGTCCCTGGGTGGGAGCGAAAGGGCGGGGACTTTTGTGTGCTGCTCTATGTCGCCTGCGCATAGTCTCTATCCATGGTGCTGAAATCCAAAAAAAAAAAAAAAAAAAAAAGTATCTTTCCAAGTACGCTGACCTATTTTTATGTTTATTAGGGAGATACATCCAGGTTATTTGCCCATCATGGAGGCCTTGTTCTTGTAATTAACCTGAACATAACTATATAAGCAGTTCTGAATGTATAACTTATTCTGACAATAATGCAGCAGGCGGGACCACATTTCAGCACATCAGCTCAGGAAAACTGCGTGGCCCCTGTTTTCCTGTTTGGTTTTACCGACATGTTAGTAAAGTAATATTAAAGAGGCATTGTGTAACTTTTCTAGTGGAGGGTTCATCAAATGCTTTTCTTCATGGAAATGTTATTGCTTTGTTTTGAATGTTTCACAGTATAGCATTAAAACCTTTCTGTCTTCATGGAGACTAAACCAGACCAAGTTACAGGCCAGATCTGTGGTGAGGCAACTCTGTTCAGAGCCAGAATGCCTGTATTTCTAGGTATTTTTGAGCTATAAAACCAAATGTAATTTAATAAATGTAAGATAGAGCTGATTAATGTATAATGTGGTACATTCCAGGCAGAACAGTAACACAGCCATAGAAACAAGCAGGTGACAGAAAAGCAAAAAGTTACATAGTGCACCTTTAAGGTTATAACAATATTTAGAAGAACCGTAAATGCATATTATCAGAAGAGTATAATCTTTGAAATTAAAATAAATTTTATTCATCCCCAGACATGCATTGCCAACCAAAAGAAGATATGAAGAGATGTTTCAATATGAAGAAACACAAATTTTTGTTTCAAAGACATTATCTACTAAACTCTATATAGAGAAAACAAAAAAAGAAATATAACTTGAGAAATTGGAGAAACTAACTAAGCAGTGTGAAAAGCAGGGCAAAAAGTCAGGATTTTGTTGATGACAGGCAGGAATGGTTTTGCTGTGTCTTTCAATGGGCAGCGTGTCCAGTTTCTACTGTTTCTACTGAGCTTATGGAGCTATGAGCACTAGGACCAAACTGTGATCATGTCATAATCCCATTACTAATGTATCCTGCTAAATGATGTTACAGATAGATCAGGCAGAGGCCTCGGGTTTTTATTGCCTGACACCTCTGCAGGGTCCCATCATTGCCTTGTACTATATGGTATTACTTACCCCAAACAAAAAATGTAGCAAAGATGAGGTGGTCAAATTATCAGCAGCCACACCTGTGAAATGATTCTTGTATAGGGGTTTATCTCAGACACAAGCCTGAATTTTCATTTCATTGTCATCTATAGGGCAGGAATCTCCAACCTGTAGCTCCGGGGCTACCAGTAGCTCTCCACCCACTTCAAAGTAGCTCACCAAGGACTTTCTGAATTCTATGTATTGTGCTTAAAAAGTAAAATTTGATTAATTATTGTAAATATATCATGATGATAGGTAGCTCTCTGGCAGCTTCCTTTTGTAAAAGTAGCTCAATGGAGGAAAAACATTGGAGACCCCTGCATACGGTGACCGTCTGTCCCTCTTTTGGTTCTCCTGTAGCCTACATATTTAGGCCCCTGTCCATTGTCCCACTTAGCTAAAGAATGCCCCACTTTTACCTGTGCCACAAGAATTGTATTAAAAAAAAAATCTTAGATGAAATCATGTCTCGTCACACCAAAATATTGTAGCTCACGAGACAAATTAAATCATTAAGAGAATTTTTATAAATAGGCTATTGTGGGGTTTCAGATGACATCACTACATTCTATAGGCCAATGTTTTTTAATACAGATGGGCAATCAGCATTTTAAAGTACTGATTTTTGTTGTAATATAGTTGTAAATTGAGTTCTTGAGTCTAGTCACTAACAGAAATCACCAGGTTCAAGATTTGTGAACTCACCTTTTATATATTTAGATATTTTATGACAAAATTTTATGTAGTCTACAGGGAAAAACTGGCTCTTGCCCCCATCGAGAAGTATGACACCATCACGTCTCAGAATCTGAAAACTACCAGTACATTACAAAACACAGACCAATACATGGCCATTGTCCACAAGTACCACTGGGAGGCGGCAAATCTCAACTTTAGAGAGCGCGCGCGAGCGAGCATCAAGAGAGAGAGAGCGCGTGAGAGAGAGAGAGAGAGAGAGAGAGAGAGAGAGAGAGAGAGAGAGAGAGAGAGAGAGAGAGAGAGAGAGAGAGAGAGAGAGAGAGAGAGAGAGAGGGCAGTGTATTTGGTTCTTATTTGTTGCCAGGGTGACGGCGGGGGGCGGGGCGGTCTGTGGTGAGGACAGAGGAGGAGGCGCAGATGTGCTGCGCTCTGCTCGCTCTGCTTTCTCTCTCTCTGTAGGACCAGGACCAGAGCTATCGTGGAACTTCAAGGAAAGAAAGAGTCTAAAACTGCATCTGTGGGCATCTTCCTACCTTAAACTGCACCGCCCCGCTGGTAAAAACGTCTCTTTTAACCTTTAATACTGATATGTGTCAATTATGTAAGTTATATATTCCTTAAAACTGTGTTTTAATGTTTTATCAAGAACATTGACTTGACTTGAGACAGAGCTAATGCATCCTTCAGTGATGTTAGCATGTTCCTGCAGCATCAGATTTACAACACCAAAGGTTAGCTTGTGCTGCCACGCTCGGCTAAATATGAACGAGCACAACAGTGAATGACTTGATCAGGCGAATTATTTACGAATAAATTCAACGTGTACGAGTACTTCTTCATCCCTGAAGCTCTTCTTCCTCACGAATGCACATTGACAGCTGCTAACGAGGCTACCGTGGCATTTCGCGCTAATCAATGACTGATGTAAATGACCAAGCGAGCTATTCTGGATTTTGATCCGGGTTTTGGCTCTCTATGACCTTAGATTAAAATGATGAAAAGTTTCGAAGCAAATGGCACAAAGCGCAGTTGCCGCTACCGGTCCACGTTTTCTTACATCCGGTGCGAGTGCCCTGCCCACAATGGAGCGCTTCAAAGAGGAAGTTTATGATGCCACTATAGTGACATAGTAGTAGACCCATAGACATTAGACCAAGGAAAACACCAAGGAAAACACTTTCAAACTAGTGGTTCTGGTCCCCACTTTTATTTAAGGGAATAAAAGCCGGCTCTGTTCATTTGTATAGCTTTTTACCAGGGGGTAGCTTTTCCTAGTGCAACTGCTACTTACATCATAATACATCACATTAGTGGTGTAGTTAGTTACCCATCAACCAGAGAGTTTGCCAAATGATGTATTGCAAAGGGCAGACCTATATTAAAGCCCATTATATCTTAACTTCATTTCATCTTCATTTCAGTAAAACTTTCTAAAATGTCATTATAGAAAGTCAAATTTGCCTGCAGATATTATTGTGCAGTGTGACTCACATTAGTCAATCAATCATGCAGCAGAATGGCCTTCAGGCAACAGTAACCATACAATGATGGAATGTTGTCTCTATCTTTTCATTTTTAGTAGGGATGCACCAATCCAGCTTTTTCCATACCGATACTGATGTGGATACTTTGGCTTTCCGATGCCTGATATCAACTAATACTAGGGCAGAGACAGAAAATATAATTTATTTCAATTAAACACAAACAGCATAAGGTAAAAAAAAATATCCAACTGTGTTTTGTAACTACAGAACATCTTTGTAAAAATACAATTTTAATATTCAACATTTTGGGCTAACATCGGCCAGTAAATTGTATTATTACACCAAGTTATAAACCAAAATGGGATATCGTCCGATACGGTATTATAGAAGCCAATATCTGGTACCAGTATCATATCAGTGCATCCCTAATCTTTATGTCTTTTTTTAAGAGTACTACTTCAAAGATGCTCCAGCTATCACGGATTCCAGCTCCTTAAAAGACTCACTGAGTACTGTTTAAAATGAAAAGGATTTGAATAGAACAAAATATAAATTACTGACTAAGTGGCAGCTAATCAGTGCTTATTTTATAAAGAGCCTCAGGTGAACATGGAGGAATACACTGTGGGGAGATGAAGATTTTAGCAGTCATTATTACTTCAAAACTACAAATTCCCAGGGCTTTATTTGCATTTCTGAAAAAACCTGCTTCACCAGTTCTGCCATTTCGTTCAAGTGCACGCAGTGGAGTGTTACTGATTCTTGAAATCTGTAGCACCTATCTGTCTGACTGAAACTCTCATTTAAATAATAAAGACTTCAAATTTCAAAATGTCACAAATAACCCAGATCTAACCCAGCTGTGTCTGCACCAGGACTGTGATTCACAAGGTCAATCTTTATTCAATATGATACATGCTATACGGCTCACGATATGATATTATCACGATATGGCGATAAATGCGATAACTGGTATATTGCGCATAATACTCTACCATATATCACTGCTTTTTTTTTTTTTAGAACCAAATACATTTCAGCAACGGTATTTCTTTGTTAAACCAGTACCTGTGCAGTTAATATGAAATACACCCATTTTAATCATCAAAACCATGAATATGTCCAGTGTTTTGAATAAATACGTTTCACATAAAAACTGATGTGCAGTCACAAAACAATTTAGTATATTATTATTTCAAAAATTTAGCACACTCCTAGTCAACACAAAGTTAAATCAGGAATATAATGAGAATCTAGAGTGGTACATAGTCATATTGATCAAATAAACCGAAGAGAGCAGTTACTAAATCATTAATAAAAATGTCCAAGTCAAGCATCCACTCTAGAAAATCCTATGCCTCCAATTTAGCTGCTGTCCAATATAGATGACCAACAGAAGCAGTTTGTCATATTTTCCATTTCTCTGACACATTTCCTGTTATACAAGTTATCTTTTATAATTGAAATGGATTAACTGATGGCCATAAAAGTATTTGTTTCCCATTGTTTTGTCAGATTTGAAGATTTTGAGTGACGCTTTTCTGACAGGAAGTGGTTGTTTTATGCTGCTGTCACATGTCAGACTGTGCTGTGATTGGCTGGTCGTCTGTGCCCATTTCAGGCCACCTTAATCCCAGGGGCTTGGAGGTGTCAGACTCAAAGCAAGCGTAGAATCCATTAAACTCGTATGTTTCGTGATGAGACTAACAATGACCTTAGCCCTAAATCTGTGAAGGCGCAACATACTTTGAGTCACAGCTGTCAATGGCTTGTTTACATGTACACCAAAAATCTGGTCATTATCTGATTTCTGGGGTTTATTTATTTATTTATATAAACAGTTTGGAGCAATCTCGGATTCTCTTGGATTGTTCACATATGTGCAGGTTTTAACAAGGAAATTTATGTTAAAAAAGGGTAAAAAAAAACAAACATCGAATGAGACAAAGAGAAAAATAAAAGGGAAAATGTTACTGGTACTCTAAAAACCCATTGATTGAACTGACACATGCCACCAGATGTTTTGATGACCAGATTTCTTGTGTACATGTAAACACCCTAACCCTCACAAAATCAGATCTCGTTATTGGGTTATCAGATTATAGTTATCTGATTTTCACTGGTCATGTAAATGTACACACTGCCACCTTCAACTGGCATCATCTTTAGTTTGTTGCATCCAGGTCACGGCTTACCATTTTGTCCAACTAATTTCTCTTGTGGATCAAAGTTTGTCTAAGTCTGAGTCTAAGTTGTTGTATAATGTTGTAATGTTCTCGATAGTCTGATCTATTTTACTTCCAAATCCTTCATTCCATACTGCCTTGTCCCTATGCACTTGTCATGTATTTGTTGTCCAGACAGCAAAAGCGTATGCACCTGGGTCTAGCAGTGAACTGGTGGAGGCAGCATAATAAGTTTTGACAGTCTTCTGAAGTGGAGGTGGACAGCTCGGCCAATAGGGGCCCCTCACCTTGCACCTGCATCTTTGTGTTTACCAGAGCCAGAGGGGCATGCTGGTGGAGAACAGGCAGCATAGTCTGTATTTGATCTCAGTCGACTTTATTATGTTGTCTTTTCAATTTTAGGGGCACAACAATTACATATGAGCTTATACATTTGGCTTTTTTCTGCTTTTTTCTGTTCTTGAGACAACTCTTGAAACTAATTTTTAGCTCAATTATTTTTGTTTGCATTTACAACTATTACAGTTAGTACAAGTTTTATTTTAGAATCCCATACTACTACACTATTTCCATAATCCAGCTATTTAAAATGCAAGCAAAATGTTTTAATAACAAACTTTTAAACTTTTCTTTTTTTTTTTGTAAAATCTGAGAGAAAAATTAATGGGACATTTTGTTCTAAAATTGCGGGGTGAGCGATCACTGTTTACATGTGCAAAGGAACAATGCTTACAGTTGGAGATGGAAAAAAAAATACAATGAAGTCTATTAAAAAAATGGAGGGAGAGTTTACTCATTCATAGTTATCTAATTAGGTCAAAGTAATATGGTTTTAAAATGCCTTCTGATCAACACGAGACATTCCTCTAGAGATTATTATCTCTGTTAATGATCAATATAGTATCAAGATGAACAAGTGCCAAGGTGCCAGTCGCAAAAACTGTTGTTGTGTCCTTGGGCAAGGCACTAACTCACATTATCTGGTATGAAAGTAGTGTGTACATGAGTGATGGTGGTGATCGGAGGGACTGATAGCACCAAGTATGGATGAATGAATAATGAACTGTACAGCGTCTTTGTGACATATGTCTGTGAAAAACGCTATATAAATAAAAACTTATTACTTACTTACGAACAGTTCTTCTAATATACATTGCCTGTTACATAATGAATGAATGTGTATGTACAATTCAATAACTTTTTATTTATATTGCCATAAAAGCCTACTTATAAATGAAAATATCACATGAAACCATTAACATTATACGTGGTATTATCGCACACATCTGACTCACATTACAGTCCATATTGTATTGTCCAAGTGATACAATTATTTTTGTATCCAACAGGTGAGCTTGATGCATATGGTCACCATGCCATTCTGATGAAACCTATGGTAACTGTGGACAAGAGCTTCATTTGCGACAGCTGGTGAGTTTTATTATAGTGCTTCATTCCCTGGTTGTAAAGCAATCCAGTCTCAGTTTAGCTATACACTGGCTGCAGCCTCTGACTCCATTAAACACTTTCCCTTATCCCCTCTTTTTCTATTGCATAAGCAGTGAGGCATGTATAAGTTATTATTTGATAGAATACATTCTTGGAACCCTTACCCATCACTTGAATTTTTTGCCATTTTTGTGTCATAGCGTTTCCAGAGAGAATCTCATTCTTGGTTCTGCACAGCCTCTTTTAAGATGGATTCTCTCATAACTGGATACTGACGCTTCCTCTCAATTGTACACACCAGTTTTTGTGGCTAACAGCTCCTGCTTCCTCATTACCTTTTCCTTTGTGAGACTCTATCACAATGGTGGCTGAGACTGACACAGTGTCCCAGTCCAGTGGAGTTCGACTGAAACAGGAGATCTCTTTGCTACATGGGGTCTGCCTTATTGTCGGAAATATGATCGGCTCCGGCATCTTCATCTCGCCCAAGGTAAGTGCAGCTGTATTTCAGATTTCACTTTAGAATGAACAGATATATAACTTTGTGCTGTCTTCAAAAGGGAGTTTTGATGTACACCGGTTCTTATGGTCTGTCCCTTATTGTCTGGGCTGTTGGAGGGATATTCTCTGTTTTTGGTGCGCTGTGCTATGCTGAGCTAGGGACAACAATCCGGAAATCTGGAGCTTCTTATGCCTACATTCTAGAAACCTTTGGTGGTTTCTTGGCATTTATTCGGTAAGCTGAACTTAATTTTTGTTGCTTGGCCAATGGCAAATAAATTGAATGAACTGGTCAAACAGGTTGTAACATCTGAAACGTCTGATGCAATGTGTAATACAATACCACAGTAGTGAGTCTTTCATTAATGGGTGTTGAGACGATGACATCCCTGTCAGGGCCTGTCACGATAACAAATTTGGAATATTGCTGAAGTAAATACAGGCAATAAACAGTAATACTGAAACTAATTTATGCCACTGACGCAACAACCCAAGAGCAAATTTAAAATACAAAAACTATTCTTAATGTATAATACCGCTAAAAAATCATGAACTGCAATATCAGCATAATGAGCCACTTAGTGCTTAGTTTGTCATAGAAGTTATTAATTAAATCTTTTACAGCTTAAATCTTATTCTATGATCAAAAAAATAACCAAACATTTCCCACTGGTGCAAAGAAGTTGTACACGTGATAAATATTGAGCCCAAAAATATATTGTTCCAGCTTTCATATGTTGAACAATAACTCAATATAGTAATTATTGTGACATGCCTAATCATTAAACCAAAATTACTGCAGTGTAATTGGTTGATTAGAGACTTTTATATTTAATTTAACTTTTTGTTATTATTATGTTTTTATTATTGTAATATTCTTGCAGGTTATGGACCTCTCTGCTAATAGTGGAGCCAGCGAGTCAGGCAGTGATAGCCTTGACTTTCTCCACATACCTGGTGCAGCCCTTCTACCCGACCTGTGTGGCCCCATACGCAGCAGTGCGGCTCATAGCTGCGGCTATCATCTGTACGTCTCTCTGTCCCACCACAACATGTGTGACCTTTGTGTGCTGTTTACACTGGTGAATGCAATCACTCAAAGTGTCATGTGCTGCCCTTTTAAGCACAAAATCATTATAAACAAAAATTTATAAATAACAGGTCAAACTGCATAGTACTGTAGTTATACAATACTTTGCGGTTTTATTTGTTTTGTTTTTTTGTTCCTGCTGAATAAGCAATACCAAATGTGCTCTTTGTTCAGATACTTATGTGTACTTGTAACTTATGTGTACGTAGTAATTATTATTTATTTGGCTTTTAATCAAAGACTTCACTAAAGCTAAAAAGGCCTTTTAGAGTCAGTATTTTGAGGACTTTTTCACATTCAAAAGATATACAATTTAGTTTTAAATTGTCAGTCAATAGTGATGGGCATAATTTTTCTTCATTCATAAACCTGTGAATACATTTGTTGACTGCATTTGTGTTGTGCTGTTACTGTTAACAGTGTACTTTGGATTAGTTATTAGTGCATGTCTTATTTACAAGGCCAACTATGGGGAATGCATCGCAGTGTTGGTATTACACCCTGCACCATAGTACTTGCTGCTGTTATTTCTGGGTTTCTAGTACAAAGTAAACTAAAACGGCACAAGAAAAATAGATCACATTGAACAGCTATGGTAAACCACTACCTTTAGAGCCATTGTTTCCATTGACTCTAGAGTTACATGTACACACTTCTTTTCCGTTAGAGGTGCTAGGAAATAAATGCATTTGGTTTAATGCATTATAAATACAATATCTTAGCAAATGCACAAAATGATGAACAATAAAAAAATTATTTAACATTTTTCTGCTTGTCTTTCCAGGTCTGTTGACGGCTGTGAACTGTTGGAAGGTCAAATGGGGAGCAATTCTACAGGTCGTCTCCACATTTGCCAAAGTACTTGCTCTTATCGTTGTCATCATTACTGGCCTTGTCAAACTTGCACAAGGTAAATAAAAAACTTCATATTTACAACATGAAAAATAATATATAGGTTAAAACAAAGTGTACTTTAAAAAAATATTGTAAGTGCACATAAGAGGTTTTCATTGTTTTATATTGAATACTTGGGTTGGTACTTGTTAGTACTTGTAGTGAAACTATGTTATAGTGTTACATCAGTCAGTTTGTGAGAGAAGAAGTACAAAAATACAGGAAGTAGCAGTGAGTTCAGTAGTGGAATACCCCGACTACATATCATCAACACAAAAATTCCACTCAAATGCAGAGGCTGTTTACTTGCCCTGATGACTAAATCTGGTGATATACACTTGCAGTAATTTGCATCTGTTTTAGCGTTTCTGTATAATTTTGTTAGTTTTTGTGTGAAGTAAAATAAAATGGAAACAAATTAAAAGGCCGTTGTTTTGAATTCCATTAAATACTTAAATAACTCAATATGAATCGAATATGATGCTCATTTCATTATTCACAAACTAGCAGATCAAACTGGACAAAGAAGCTCTTTAGGGTTTACACCTAAAGTAGTCTAACTTAATATACACCACTTTAATTTCATGTCTACACTGTATAATATAAGTATAATTGTCACATCTCTAATACATTTCTTTTGTAGGATTTGACCAGAACTTTGAGGACTCATTCCAAGGCTCCAGAATGAACCCTGGTGACATGGCTTTGGCTTTGTACTCTGCTCGTACTCGGGCTGGGACACGCTCAACTTTATCACAGAGGAGATCAAGAACCCAGAGAGGTTGTTGAGAAGTTACTGCTCACTGCACAAAGGAAGAAATATTTGAACTTGAATTTGAACTAGACCCATTTATAAAAAATGTGTTTCAGTAGTTCCATGTCATACACATAGAATTATACCCACAAGTGAAACACAGATAACAAAAAGTTTTGCACAGCATTAAAATATTACATTATATTATTGTCAATCATCACAAATGAACGTTATATTATCAAAATAAATACAAATTTGCCTTTTTGCAGTGAATCAACATTCATATTGTTGTATTATTTCTTTCAGAAATCTCCCCTTGTCCATTGCAATCTCCATGCCATTAGTGACAGTGATTTACATTTTAACCAACATTGCCTACTATGTTGTACTGGATGGGGACAGTGTCCTCAACAGTGACGCTGTGGCTGTGGTGAGTCTAGTCTTACTAGCACCAGTGATGACTATTTCCAAGCTGATGTTTGCTAATGCTAAACCTTGTTAAATGTTTACAAATTCTCTCCAAATAGAGTACATCTGCTCAGATTCTCATGGGTGTATCTTGTCTCTTGTGGTCCCTGTAACATCACTGACTGTAGGAGTCAAAATGATGACAGGATCCCATTTAGTTAAATACGTTAGAGGCCTGCACAGGAACACAAGGAGGACATTATGTGATTAGTGGCAGGCATAGAGAAGGCTTGATCTTTGATTAGATTTTTTAATGTGAATTCATAGTACTTTTTTTGCTATAAACTGAATTGAGCAGTTTTTATATATATTTTCTCAGTGCATAGCTTTAGCCTCTAACCATAACTTTTGACTACAGAGGAAACCAAACAGGATTTTACCGGTAGTTTGAGTATGCCAGTGACACATATTCAATACATTCTTCCGAGAACAATGGAATAAAAGCTTGTTGTACTTTTTTCTGGTCGTACAAGGACATTTTTATTTCTCCATTAGCAGTTTTTCTTTCTGACTATTTTTGTCTTTCAGACTTTTGCAGATGAGGTGTTGGGGTGGGGTCGTTGGCTCATCCCCCTGTCGGTGGCCATTTCCTGCTATGGTGGGCTCAACTCCTCCATCATTGCTGCTTCTAGGTGTATAAACAATACACACATCAAACTTTTGTTGACCTTATGAAAAATAAATGGTACAGCATTTACAAACACATTTAGACTTGTTTGAATGCTTCTGCTGCAGGTTGTTCTTTGTTGGCTCCAGAGAAGGTCACTTGCCAAACGCACTCTGTATGATTCATGTTACGTGTTTCACTCCAATCCCTGCTTTACTCTTCAATGTTCGTATCACACACTTTTAAAAGAAATTAGTTATTCTAAAATTTTCTTGCCTTTTCTTAAATGATTTCGTGTTGTTCTTTTCTCAGGGTGCCATGTCACTGATTTTCCTGTCTGTTCCGGATGTTTTTCAATTAATCAACTATTTCAGCTTTAACTATTGGTTGTTCATTGGCATGTCAATAGGCAGTCTTATCTACCTTCGCATCAAAGCACCAGATATGCACCGGCCAGTTAAGGTACTGATCCAGACAACATCAAATATACTATACTGCAGTACTGTGATACATACAACTGTACAACTGTGCTTGTAACTTTTCTTGTACAAGTCCAGCATTTGGTTGCATCCCTGAAGTTATGATAGGGAATGTACCGCAGTATGCCGTTAAACCTGATTATTATTTAATTATAGGTGTTTTTTTTTTTTTTTTTACAATAAAGCAATATCTTGAAAAATATGCATTCTACTGTAAACGGGCCCACCTCTTCACAAATCAGACCTGTAAATTGGCATGATGCTAGATAAGTTTAATGTCCTACTGTGCCCCTGTGATTTTATTAGATAATACAGTTAATCTGATTTCAGTTGCTGACAATTACATGACTCCATATGGCCAAAGCAAACAAAGCATTATTAAATTATTACTGAAATACTGTTCACACTGATTTGATTATGTTAAATGTTACTTTGAGGTAAAGGAGAGATATTATTAACTATGGTTTTCTGTTGCTTCCTTTAGCTGTCCCTGTTCTTTCCAGTGGTCTACTGTCTGTGCAGTGTATTCCTGGTGGTGATGCCTCTTTACAGTGATACTATCAACTCTCTGGTGGGAATAGCTGTGGCTCTGTCTGGTGCTCCGGTCTATTTCATCTGTGTCCACGTGCCTCCCAGCTCCAGGCCAGCTTTCCTCGCCAAGACCCTGAGTAAGATTTTTCTCTGTACATAGTAACTGCCTCAACAGTTAAAAGAGGGGTTAATCTGTAAGTAGCAAAGGCATGATGAGTATTTTCTTAGATGTTTTAATGGGAGAGGATTAGGATTAAGAGTGTAAAGTTCAGTGTAGTTCTACTGTACATGGCTGTGTTTTCAAGTAGTATAGTTATGTTCATCACAAGGCTTGGTTTTGGTGATGAGGGAAGTCAGTGCAGATGCCAAAGAAGCGTTCTGCATGTTCTGCTGCCCAACAAAATAACTTTGTAGTTTTAAAGGATAGTTTACTAAATTCTGTCACCATTAACAGTGAGTGTCTTTTAAAGTCTAAAAATGTATTTCTGTCCTGAAATAGATAAGCTTTTGTCTTGCCTTATCTTCTTCTTTTTAACATATTCCTCGTAATTGTGCCTTTTGCAATTTCTCCTTTTTAAGTAGCTAAGGTTCAACAACAGGTGGGTGCTGCTATTGTGATGAGATTATTCTCCCTCTTAAAATAATAACTAAAATTGTAGCTTACAGTTTGACAAAGACCTCACTTGTAAAGCCATTAATGTGCCTGAATTACAATGTCTGTTTTTTCTTTTTTCTGTTCTGTGCAGATAAGGTTTCTCTGTACACCCAGAAGCTGTGCTTTTGTTGCATGACGTCTCCTGATATCGACTTGGACAATTTAGAACTCGAGAAGATGGAGTGAAACATCAACAAAGCACTTACAATGGTGTGGGGGAGCAGACAATGGGGACCATGCATTGACAATCCAGGTCTTTAATATGAAGGCAAAATGCTGTCAGAATTGCTCCGTCAAGCTGTTCGACCTTTTTAACACAAATGAGCCGCATGAATAATGCAGTAGGATTCACAGTACTAGTTCCAAGCACAGCACATTTTCAAAGTTACATGTGCCACTTCAAGTTTCACTATAAGCTAACCCAAAGCCTTAGGTTTACACTGCAACACACACACCTTCTGAAAACATGTGAGCCATGTGACCGGCTTTGTACAGAACGGTTGTAACTTGTTCAGTACATGCCTGTGCCGTTTCTCTTGTGAACGTGTGCATATTAAACACAAACTGTAACTTCGTACAGTGGTAGAGACAGAGGACTTGGAGAACTTGCCATTAAGAGTTTGACACTTGAACAGGCCTTTTGCACATCATACATTTCCTTGTTTGTTTTATGTCTCCAGACTCCACAGAGGTGTGTTTGTAGAATTCTCAGTTTCATTTATTTGGAATAGTTTACAAAAGTGCTTATATATTTGTGCTTGAATGTAATATGTAAGAATTCAACAGAAGTGGTTCCACAATGTGCGTTGTGCTTTCACAAGCTATCTCTATTTATGGCACCACCTAGTGGTCACTAAATATATTTTGCGACAAAAGCTTTATTCATGTGGTTGCTAGTTCCAAGTTATTGGTTTTAATACTCCTAGCTTTACTTTTGCCAATACAAAACTTGCTTACTTTATAACTCCTGTTTTTACCTCAGAATCTCTCAGACTCACGTTATAAAATATTTATAGTTTTTATTTATGTGAGTAGCTTAGTAATGCAATGTATTGGTGTTAAAATCTTAACTCATGTGAACTCAAATTATTTTACTACCAAAGCCTTGACTTAGGTGTGTACGAGTGTGAGCTTGTAGCATTTCTTAAAACCGCATAGTTACTGTGGCAGCAGATGAAGCTGTTCATTTCAATGAAGTTTATTGTACAGGTAAAATACTCAGACATTGGTGTTGTGCGTCATAGTGCCTTTGATTAAAAGTAGGTTATATTTTTATATCAGAACATACTTAACAAATGTTGATGAACACTTATAATTGTTGTTGAATGTGTTTCCTGTCAATAGTTACAAACAGCAATTATAAACAGATTGTGTACTCCAGTGTCCGTACTTGGATTTCTGTCTGCGCCAGCCAAAAGAGGCACTTCAATTCTGTGTGTACCTCCTGGACCAAGTTCATGGCCCACATCATTTCTGTTATAAATGACTATGAAGTTGGATGTATCAGTAGGCATTTACTGTGTGTGACAAATGTATGTTTTGCCAATTGATACTTTGTGTTCCAATAAACACTGTGCAGGTCAATAATGTGGACTTGTGCTTTGATTTGCTGTATTAAGGTGTGGTTGGTGTAGGCCTGTCATGATAATTACTATATTTAATTATTGTTTAATATCTGATAGAACTTTTTCTTTGCACTGCTTGAACATTTTGGATTATTTTTTGTCAATATGATAACATTTAAAATGTAAATGGTTGATTTAATAACTATTACAGATGCAAATTAAGTGCTTATATATGTTTATTTCTTATATTTCTTAATTTTAACAATATTGTAGAATTAGAACAGTTTTGTGGTTTAAATCCATCTTGGATTATTGTGTCAGTGTCATAAATTTGTTCCATTATTATCGTTTATCTTTATTCTATTTATCACACTTCAAATTTTTTTTTATGTGACCAGCCTAGGGTGATGATACTTTTCAATGTTACAGTCTCGATAGTAAACTACCATGACTAAATGTATTGTAGTTTGTGTTGTTTCAGGCTGGTTTCACATTACAAAGTCATACAACTGTGTAACACCCAAAGGCTTTGTGGAGATGAGTTAAATGTAGAACTGGCCTATTTAGCACAAATAGTGATGTAAAGGACGTAATAATACCCACTAAGGCACTAATCTAACCTGTACAAAAATGGATTTGGATCAATTCACTTATTTCTCAGCCCATTACGGACACTGCCCTGTCTTTGTCATGTGTTCAGTAATTCTGAGTTGTTAACGCTTTTGCACCCTATTCCAAATAATCTGAGTCTGCTTAATCCAAATCTCTGTTGTGAAGTAATTTACAACAACCTCAAATCAACAAATGTCATAAAATAAAATAAAATCCACATTCACTTTATTTCTATAGTACATTTTAGAAACAAAACAGTTTCCAAAGTGCTGCTTATATAAAGGTAAAATTAAAAGCAATAAAAGGTATACAACAGAGGGTATGAATACTCAGTTGAATCTTGCCAGTTCTAAAACACTAAAACCAGTAAAGTCAAACAAACGCAAACCCATAAAAAGCAATTAATAAATAAAAGCAATAAAATAATACAAAAACGTAAATAAAAAACAGAGGTCTACACAACCCACACGGTGATTAAAGAAAGGGAATTGTGTTAAGATTACAAATAAAAACTGCTTACTACTCCAATTAAAAATACTAAACACTATCCCATAGCAACACATGCAAGACTGTAGTAAAGTTTTCAGTTTTTTTGTGTTGGTCTGAGTGTCTCCTTAGGTAGCTGGACAGGCCCCACCTCCTGTCTTCCCACCTGCCCCCCTCCAACAGCCGGTCACATTACACCTGCTACTCCTGCCCCGAAAAGAGAGGTATAGTCCAGTCCCTCCCCGGCCTGGAGGAGAGTTGGGTTCCACTGCTTCATGCATAAAACATCCACCTGCAAATGGGAAATCGAGTAGACTACAATGACAACTGCTACTGCAACAGGTCTCTGGTGAACTTACACACTGAATCATAGCTGGATTTGGTGATCTGGTTTTGCTTATGTCCCATTCGCAGTATCTGTCTCTGGGATGGACAGAACAGCGGGACAGGGGAGCTGCTCAGTGACCGATGAGTGGAGATTACACAGAGAGACCTGCTTGGCATCATGGAGTTTCCCCGACGCCTAAACTGGATACGGAGGAGACCATGGAGGCATCATGTCCGCCATCGGGAGTTCAACCGTGAGTAGACAAAAATATGGACACCCTGCTTCTTTGAGTAATTGATTTAAATGGCCAACACAGATCTGGCATCTAAATTACACTTTCAATTATTTACAAATACATATTTTGAAGTAGTGGTATGATGTAGTATTTGTTTTGTAATTGAATACTGACAACCTAACAATATTAAGTAAAATATCATTGAACTACACCTAAGAGGCATTTTACTCATAAAAGTGAGTTCATATTGCCTAGATTAGATTTTAAACACAGACTATGAATAGATAAACATCACTAATCATGTAATGTTTGAGAAAAACCAAACCAAAATTACATGAAACCTACCACAGCTGAATTTGATATGTTCAAGACAGATTTGGATAGTAGCAGCAGCACAGTGTAGTAGTTTTTCACTCTACTACTACTCTCTACTAGACTCTACTAGACTACTAGAAATTGAGGAATATCAAAGTATCCATGTACCTTACCATTTTTGGAGTTCTTGAGTTTTCAGCCAATTTTAACCAACCAGTTGAATTATAGTAAAATAAATAAATAAATAAATACATTTTCTTCCATTGTTGTTGAGTTCAGTTGAGTTGAGACTTGGGTGCATTTGTAAGACTTAATCAGCAAATGTTTAATTGAGAGGGCATCTGTGTTGACTGTGTGGGATCAGATTGTAGGGAGAGTGGATTAGTTTGACCTGTAATGTTACCAGTTTGAGCTTTGTTTGGCTCCAGACTGATTCACAGTAACCGGTGATAAGAAATATGCATTATTAATATTGTTTCTTTTGATAGCAACACTAGACAAGGGAAAATGGATGGGCGGGAAGGTGTGTCTTTTAGGCCTATTATTGATATGTTTACTGTAGTTCTCGTCTATAGTTAAAGGTGTACTGTGTAACTTTTCGTTTGGGGGTCCATCACCTTCTTGTTTCTATGGATATGTCTTTGCTCTGAATGTTCCACAGTATGACATTAAACAGCTCTACCTTTACATTTATTCAGTAACAGGTGGTTTTCTGGTGGTTTTATTGCTCAAAGATGCCTTGAAAAACAGGCATTCTGACTGTGAGTGGTGTTGCCTCTCCTGAACTGTAATTTTGTCTGGTTTGGTCTCCATGAATATAAAAAGTTTAATGCCATACTTTGAAACATTCCAGACAAAGTAATAACGTCTCCATGAAGGAAAGCATTTGATGCACTCTCCATCAGAAAAGTTACACCTTTAAAGTAATAACACGCTCTTATGATTTACTTATTGTTCAGTTGGTGACCGGGGATAGCTGATGTTGGATTCGTGTCATGGGAATATTTATTTTTTCGCTGACACAAGCAGATTGGTGTGGGTCAAAGGTCAAATCATTGGTTACTTTAGGTAGCTCCTGATACTTAAATCATTGTTACTCTATTTGTGTTGGAGTTGTGGTCTCCTCACCCATTATTTCATGTTATGATGATTCAAGCTGTTTTTTAGGATCAATACAGTGAAATGCTTTGTATCTGAGAAATTGATTAAACATTATCTGAGCCACTAACCCTATGGATCCCTCAGTGCATTTATGAGATCATCATAGTTTGTCTGGGCTGGTGAACAATCGTCCAGTAGAGACAAAAATATCATACCATTATACCAATTTACTGGCACACTAAATATCTTTCTTTTTGCTTCAGTTTGAAACACAGAAATGCACTTGACCTTAAGTGTGTATATTCACATTGACCACTAGAGGGCCTCAACACGTTTGTCAATATAAGCTTGTCTCTTCCTCTGACTTTTTGTGCTCAGATAAAGACAATCACTTTTATACATGTAAATTATACATGTGTACACAGAGAAGCAGTAGATGTGTTATAGTTTGACAATCATGTTTAGGCACAAATGAATGCTGTTGCAGTGTTGTTGTTTTTGTGAGTCTGACCTGAGAAATAATATAGGAGATCCCACTGAATTGAAAATGTCAAATTCCCTCAAGTTCCCGGATCCACTTTTTATGATTGCATTGTGTTGTAGTGTTGCAGCAATATATTCAAATGTACAATTTTGGGTTATCTTAAATACAAAGACCATGCATATATAACGCTGACCTCCAGATGCTCTTTGCCAAAAATAAGGTTTGGATTTCCTGTGGCTACACTAAAAGAGATAGATTGTCTCTGCTTCCATCTGCTGGACCCTTTAATCATCAGGGAGAACCATTTTTCACTGTACTCATAATGAACTAGCATCTTCTGTCTGCTGCTTTGTCTCCAGAGAGCGTGTCTGTAACGTTTGGTTTGGTGCTTTGCTTAAAAGCACAGGGGTATTAATGGATGCCTCCCATCTGCAGGTGGTGGTGATTAATACACACCACTTTAGCAGATTGTGCTGCTGTGGCACTGTGACCCTCAGACTTGGACTCTCATTTGTCTTTTTGTCCCTCACCTTTGACCTCTTCACATTTACTTTATTGCTTCCTTTCATCTTACTTATGTTGACAGAAGACATTGTTTTGAATTTATACCTCCAGAAACTAGGCCAGTGGTTCTCAAAATGTGGGACATGTACTATAAATGATCCACTTTTTTTTGGCATGTTGTGGACATGCATCTGTATAGTGCTTTGAGAAAAAGATACTGAATAATACTACCACTTTTGTCTATATTAGTGGTCAAATGGCATTTTCTTTTGGTTGTGATCAGGGATGCACCCACCCTATACTAGTATCGGAAATTGACGGCAATATTGAACATTTTGGTAGAATTGGTTCAGCCATCTATTAACTGGCATAATAAGAAGATTTACTGGACAATGTTGGCCAAAAACATCTCATAATATTGACCTTGTGTTTTTTCAAAGCTGTTCTGTAGTAGCCCGATTCAACAGCCGGTTTCACTTCGTCTGACCTCGCAGCATTAGGATTTGTTCGCTCGACAGTGGGCGGGTACTTTTTTATTTAACCCATTGCTGCTATTTGGTCATTATGTATGTAATGCGCGGCTAACAGGTCTAACTGGTATATTAAGCTTTTCCCAAAACCTGTAGGAATAATCTGTTGCCTCCTGGGAGCCTCCCTTGGGAGGTGTTCTGGGCATGTCCCACCGGGAGGAGGCCCCGGGGAAGACCCAGGACACGCTGGAGGGACTATGTGTCTCGGCTGGCCTGGGAACGCCTCGGGGTTCCCCCAGAGGAGCTGGAGGACGTGTCTGGGGTGCAAGAAGTCTGGGAGTCCCTGCTTAGGCTGCTGCCCCCACGACCCGGCCCCGGATAAGCGGACGAAAATGGATGGATGGATGGATAAAATTTACCAAACATTCTCTTTGTTCCAGCTTTAAATCCTCGATCTTGAGAATCGCTGCCAACACAGAATGTATGG